CAGGGCAAGCCGCGCTTTTCCGACATTTAGCGCGATTTGGCACCAAACCGTAGGCGCCAACCCAAATGCAAAATTTAGTCGCCACGGGGATCGAACCTTAACAGTACCTTATGCTTCTTTTTTGGTACTGCTATAACCGTTCAGCGAAAATGAAACATGGTTTTGCGTTCCCTACATGCGTCCCTACAATATGCAAAAACCGTTTTGAAAAAGCGTGCTTGCCCTGAAAGACCCTCTTAAAAGAAACTAGCTGTTTGATGGATACAATTGGTTCCAAAATTACTCGTTGCAAATGAACTAGGCAAAAACTAAAGCGATGAGTTCTAACGGTTTTCAAGAGAAAATGAAAGGTAAAACTGATAGGAAAAAGTAGGTGAACGCTATGGGCAAGCATACACGTTCAATCTGTCAATTGAGAATTATTCATGGCGTTTCTTTCTAGAATCAATAGCTTTCTGATAATGTCAAAGAAGAAAGAAGTCCGAATTATTCATACATTGGTAATACAAAAAAGTACCGTTTAATGATCTGATGCTCTTATCGTCCAGATTCTTGAGAAGCATGTCGTCGTTCAAGGTTTGATCATCAGGCACTTCCTGAAGACGGCTTCATCAAGCTAGAGCAACACTCGCTGATTGCGATAAAGATCGGTATGGTACTGACATTTTCACGATGACCGATGACGGTTTCAGTATCAGTTAAAACCCACACGGTCCCTCGCATTATACGATTATATCTTGAGCTTAAAATACAAAAGGCAAAGGGAAACACAATGCACCTAACAGACTGCGCTGTGTAACTTTTCCGGCTTCTTTCCCCACAATCCCGCAATTCTCGAGTCTTCATTAATGACTTATAGTTATTTATTTCAATTCAACAGACTATCTCCCTCTGCCGTATACCTGTGAAATCTGCCCACAGATGACACCCGTAGCACTTTTATAAACCGTGACACTGCATTAATCACATCTAGGTCCAAAATCCCGACTTAATTAAAGGCGCTCTCATAGTAAGTCGTCCGATCGCAACGATCGCACAGCATTACATACGTATCGATCGTTGGACGCGACGGACATCATGACGATCGATGCGCACCTAATGGTGTGTCATTATCACCTTCTATGGAAACGAACTAACGGTGGTCTACTTTCACCGCTGTTTTAGATCTCGGTATGAAACTCAGAATGTGAGAGGCACGGAAGGGATAAGCATGTCTGAAGAAACCACAAATGAAAGAGTAGGATATTCCTTTGCATCGATCACTGTTGCGGAAATGATCATAGAAACACAAATGACAAATTAAAGAAAAGACGGAGATAAAATAAAAATAAAGTTACATATTATGT